TCATAAAACTTGTTTTTACCCACGTTCTTTCCAAGTTCTATATAATGCATTGTTTTAGAAACTTATTTTATTTTAAGCATTTGGGACATGGCTAAAATGGAGATAGTAAGAATGATTTTTGCATCTTGTTATAGTTGCTACCCAGTAATAATCAATAACTAGTAACCTGAAAAGAGGTATTTTCAATTGCACTAGTAAGGTTAATAATGTAATGTAAAAACATGTAAGCAAAACAATGCTTAGTGTGTCAGTTTTACTGACAAGGATTCAAAGGCAGATCAGAGAGCAGGAGACAAGAGTGTTAGGATTGAGTAGTAATGTCTGCAGTGAGCTGGAGGACACACAGCTAGAAATTTGCTATCCCAGTGGTTATCAGGAGATTTAAATAGCAAACACAATTTTAAATGTTTTTCTGAGCTTTCCTGATTTGCTGACTTAAAAAAATATATTTTTTCCTTTAAGAGGTATGCATAAAGCAATTTTATCAGAACTAATTGTTTTCTTCCTTACCAATAGGTCATATAGACCAGTGTTTGGGAAGTTGAGAGAACTTAGCCCCCAACCCACCCCCATAAGTTGGCCTCATAGGTAAGTCAGCTTGTTTAATTTTGTTACCAGCATAACATAAACCAGACTGAAGTTAGGTTTAAAAAGTAATTAAGAGTAGCATGAAGGGAAAAAGAAGAAAACTAGTAACAGATTTCTCTTATAGCTAGAGTCTGACTCACTGGCCATCATTTGGTGGCCAGATGTAGCTTCAAGGGAGGCTGGAAAAAAATAATATCTTTTATAGGGAGGCAGTTGTGCTCCAAGCATTAACAAATCAGAATTTTCCTCCTGAGGAGAAAGAGAAAGGAAATGTTGTGGGTATGTTTTCTGTGCCACAGAGGTAATAGCAGGAAAGCGATGGCTTTACATTCCCCCATTTCTTGGGTATATGCAAGTGCTTTGCAAAATAATAAAATGTGCAGGCAATATGAAAGATGAAAGATTAAGTGAAAAATTAAGAAGATTCAAATCATTGTGTTTTTTTCTCTTAATAAATAATAAAAAATGTGACTATATATCTGAATTTATTTTTAAAAAATAAGGTATCATTGCTGGGTCTGATAACAGATAAGAATATCTCAAATTGTGAAGTAATTTATGCAATATATGATTAGAGTCACTTTCTGTTGTCTTGAGAATTAACTCAGTTAAAGACATAAGATGTATTTAATGTGTCTGCTATTGCAAAGTACTGGGTTAAAAAATACCTTAAAAACTAGTAGAGTAGGGGCTGGCCCCATAGTGTAGCATTTAAGCCCTGTGTATTGGGAGCTGGATTCCATGTGGATGACCATAGTTCAAAACCTAGCCCTAGCAACTTGAGAAATATGACAAGTTCATGTGTGTGTGTGTGTGCTCCAAATCCTGACAGGATTAAGTAGTGGAGGAAAAAATATTGTGTCATAATCAGACCCCACTGAGGGGCTTTCTCTCTTTCTTCCTGGCATGCACAGGTGATACCTGGCTATTTAAAAGAAAATACTAGTAGAATGGAAAATAGCATACTGTCTATGAATTTCCTCTGTACATCTCTCAGACTAATCTATGTAGAAGACGTATTTGATAATTTTATGTTTCTGCTAAAACCTTTCAATGACTCCTTACCAGCAAATGACACTCATTAGAATGATATGTGAGAGCTTTCTGACCCTAGCTTTTTTTTTTTTTTTTTTGAGAGGTTTTTGCTATAGGGTGCGTGTGCTCGCCAGATAGAGAGACAGAGAGACAGAAAGCCAGAAATCACCCCCCAGGAGGGATGGCCATGCCGCAGTCCCTTCTCCTCCATTCTCCTCTGGGGATCTTGGGCATGCATGCACACGCGCCTAGCATGAGTTTAAGCCACTGGGTCCGGGACTCGAACCACGGTCGACTACATGGCAGTCCAGCGACAAAGCCATTATATTAACTGCTGGTCCCACTTTGTTTATTTTTCTAATATTATTTCCCATAGTTCTCTGCTGTACATTTTACAACAGTAACTCTGCTAACTTGGTTTGACTAGTGTACTCTTGGAAAGGCTTCCTTGAATCTCCAGAGTTGGCTCTGTGCTGCTGAACTGTGCTCCTATGGCATCAGGCACACATCTGTGATAAACATCCCATATTACACTTTATCTAAAGGCCTACCATGGTGCTGGACACCTAGCAGGTGCTCAATGAATCACTGGTGAGTTCAACTAAACTGAAAAATAATGGAATATCCAAGGAACACTAGTTTAAGAGTTTACCTAAATAATAGTTAATATGATTATTATTTATTTTATTTTTTTCCTCTATAAAACAATCTCCAGGTCTCCTCAGAGGTATGCAGCAAAAGGACACTATGAATCCTTTGATTCCACTATACATATGGCCTCCAACAACCATTTTTTGATCTAGAACATGACATTTCTTATTGATAAAAAAAGATAAGAAATGTTAGGAAACAGTGATTAGGGAAACCAGAAGATGGCATAATAGTTGTGTCACTGGACTCCCACATGGTCAACAGTGGTTTGAGTCTTGGATCCAGTGGCTTAAAACTCTCACTGGGTGCATGCACGTGCATGCCCAAAATCCTGAGAGGAGAATGGAGGAGAAGGAATTGCGGCATGGCCATTCCTCCTGGGGGGATGATTTCTCACTTTCTGTCTCTCTGTCACTCTCTGTCTCTCCAGCAAGCAGACACACCCTATAGTAAAAGTAGCTCTCTAAATAAATAAATAGGAAAAAAAAGAGAATAGTGGTTAGGTAGTCAAGATAAGTTAGCACTCTTAATTTATGCATGTATGGATTCCTGAGATTAATTGCTTTTGGAACATTTGCATTACTTGCTAGCCAAAGGAATCCTATTTAAAGATTAGAAGTGCTTAACTAAGCACAACTTGGCGAAAATATAAAGAATAATCAATTTTTGTCATTAGTCTCTAAAATCCTCCCCCAACAAACGTAATGAAAACAACAATTGAAAAAAAACCCTTAATTAACATTCAATCACTGGAAAGGCTCTTGTGTTTGCAATTTAAAAACAGAAGAAATTGGAGACATATGTGTTTGAAATATATTTAAATAAGCAAGTAAACCATAATGCCCTTGAAGGCAGCCGTCATGGTATAGGAAAAGGGAGAATTGTGCTGGACCTGAGTAGACATGAATTCTGACTTTAAAAATAAGAGCTACTGTTTTCTAAGCCACTACCGTGTGCCAGGTCCTATAGCAGTTATACTGCATAATGTCTGACCTAGCAACCTCAATATTTAAAAGTTATATTATAGAGAAAGCAACAAAAGGAGACTAGAAGGGAAGTTGAGGAAGAATGAAAGTCAAGACAAGTTGAGAAGGAAGAAAAGAGTCTATTTACTGAGCTGTTTTAGACAAGGATCATGAAAACCTAAAAATAGAAACATTCACCCGTTCCTCATCTTCCATTCTCCCACTTCTGGTGTACTCAGAGTTCTGGACATATAGGAAGTGGGGCTTATAATGAATGCATAGTGGGGTTACATTGATTGATTTTTAAATATTAAACCAGTTTTGCATTCCTGAGATAATTATTATAGAGAAGATCTTCAACAATGAAAATAGATGACTGAGCCTAATGAGAAAACAATAAAATATATTACACCTCAAACTGTATCTCTTATTTAATCAACATTTAATTATGAGAGTTATGACCTCGAGAAATCAGTGATTCTCAACTTTAATGAGCATTAGAGTCACCTGGAGAACTAGTAATTATGAAGTTTCTTGGACAGCATCTACAAAGTTTTTGATTTAGTATGTTTGGTGTTGGGACTGAAAATCTGCATGTCTAACAAGCGTATAAATAATACTAATGCTGCTCCTAAATTGTATCATTAAAAAAGCTTTACTGTAATAAGAAAAATTCTATGATTTTCAAAAAGTTGATGGAAAATATGTATTATTAAAAATGTGGGGAACCAGCAGTTAGCATAATAGCTATGTCACTGGACTTCCATGTAGTCGACCGTGGTTCGTGTCCTGGACCCGGTGGCTTAAAACTCATGCCGGGTGCGTGTGCTTGCGTGCTCAAGATCCCGAGAGGAGAATGGAGGAGAAGGGATTGTGGTGTGGCCATCCTCCCTGGGGGGTGATTTCTCACTATCTGTCTCTCTGTCTCTCTCTGTCTGTCTGGCGAGCGCTAGCGCCCTATAGCAAAAACCTCTCCAAAAAAAAAAAAAATGTGTGCATGGATTTCAAAACTTTTCTTGCACCAAAATTAACTTGCATGAACTTGATACAAATTGGACAGGATTAATTTGGGGCATTAAGGAAGATAAGGCATCAGGTTGAAAAAAAGGTCCTATTAAAGCAAAAACAAACATCAAATTTATGATGACGCTTGGGTGAAAGAATGATAAAATCATTGATGTTGTATGAAAAATTTAAACTAGTCTTACATTCCTGGGATAATTCTTATATACGAGATCCTCTTTGTTGGTCAAATATATATTACAGATATTTTCCCCAGGGTGTTGCTTATTTTTTGACTTCATTTGTGTGGGTTTATCTGTACAGAGTTTTCAAAAATTCTACATAGTAAATATGTTCATCCATGGAGTTTCATTTCCTGCTCTAAAAAAGTCATTTTATTAAGTTTAATCAACAATGATACTTTAGATCTAAGTTAACTGCCATATATAAGACAATTATATGCCAGTGTAAAATAAAATCATGTCAACGCACTCTTTTATTTTTCTCTTATCAAACATTAATTCTTAAAGCCTCCAGTTTTGCTACATGCATATGTGTCTTTGCAATGTAATTTTGTAAGCTATATTTTCTTGTCAGACTATCACTGAAGGCCTTGATAAATTCTGGTGCTAGCCTATAGAATCAGCCTAATTAATGTCTGATATCTCAGCTTTATGATGCGAAGGTCAAGCTAACCATTAAAGATTGTACTAGTTTCCAAGAGTCTGGAAAATGAATTCAAACAACTAAGAATGAGGCTGAAATTAATGTTTTATTTTTAAAAGCAATCCATAATTGAGATGATTGGCACTGACCAGATTTCAACAGAGATGCACAGAGTAGTTGGATGCATGACTTTGAAGTCATATGTGACACAAACCCCCTGATGACTTTGTAATGTCTCTTCATTTAGGATGGATACATGAAAAGACCAGTCTAAGAAACAATACCTTTTGCAAAAGACTGTAACCTTTTTTATAGTAAACAGACTCTGAAATAAGCTTTTTAGATTTTCATTAAAATCTAAACATCTTTTCTAATCCTTCTTGTATAACTATTCTACAATGTCCTAACAATCACAAGCTGTCATAAGGAGCCAAGATTACAAAAGGAATTCACATGAGACAATGCTTAAATTCTTCTTATAGAATCTGCACTCTCAACGAGATTAATTACGATATACATGAAGTTTATTGAATTTTATAGTGGGAATGATAAAGCATTGTGCTATCGTTCTTCTGATAATTCCACGTTTAGAGAAATTCTTTTATCAGGAATGGTAAGCAAAATAAAACTGCTTTCCTTTGCTTCTTTATAGCAGGAAGAAGAACAGACATAAAACATAATAGGAAGTTGTAATGCTCCAAAAATATCGCAGGACAGAATGATACGAAGACCTTCACCAAACTTGGGACCATGACACCAATCACACTTGGATGTGCTGAAATGAAGAAAATACCAAGTTCACATTTAATAAGTTTATACTGAAGTTAAAACACTGTGCTCATTGCTATGAATTCAAACAACTAAAAATGGGGCTGCTTTCCCAGTACTATTTGTAATCCTACTCCAGTCTTCTTTATTTGTTAATTCACTTTTATTACTTTTACTTTTTCTTTCAGAGTTAACTACTTCCACTGCAGGTGATGAAAAGGCTTCACTTCAAATATTGGCACAGCTATGAGTATGGTCTATCCCCTTACTACAGCTCAGAATTAACTTTTGATTCTTGTTCTGGGTGTTTGTTTATTTGTTTGTTTTACCAATTTATTTATTTGTTCATTTTATATTTTAGTCCCAAAAGTAGTTTTCACTGTAGAAGTTATTTGAAGGTAGTCTTATACTTTCTAGTGGTGTTTTGTTTTGTTTTGTTTTGTTTTTGAGAAAGAGTTTTGCTATGGGGCATGTGCACTCACTGGAGAGACAGAAAGCAAGAAATCACTCTCCAGGTGGGATGGCTATTTCACAATTCCTTCTCCATCATTCTCCTCTAACAATTTTAGGTACACAGGCACATGTGCCTGGCATGAGTTTCAAGCTTCCAGGTCCAGGACTTGAATTGCAGTCAGCCATGTGGGAGTCCAGCAACATAACCATTATACCATCTGGTCCCTCTAGAAGCTAGAGCTCTAGCTTCTCCAGTCACACTACAAGACGTACTTAGTTTAAATATATTAAATTAACGGGCATTTTCTCAAATGAGTTTAAGTGCCTTTTATTTTTAGACAGCCTAACAGTATGTTTTTTTTTTTATTTCATTAAAAACAATGCCTCCACCCAAAATAAATCAGTCCAAAAAAAAAAAAAAAAATGAAAAGCTCAGGATGATATCAGTCTCATTTGTCTTTAGTCTTGGTGTTTTGTGGATGACAAGTAGCAGTAGCACTAGGTTATAATGACAGGTGATTGATCCAAAGTAATTACAAGTTTGTTAACATTTTCCCATTTTTAAACCATCCTTAAAGAAAATCATACATGGAGTCATACTATCCTCAAGGCAGTCCAGCAGAGCAGCCTTCCCATCTGGCTTTCTGTTTTCACCAATAAAGAACTAGCAGATTTTGAAATGAGCAAGAATATGCTTGATTTGTTCTGCAGCCCCTATCATAAAAGGTTTTACTCTTTCTGGTCTCTATTCTTCAAGTTTGCCTTTGATTGATTTCATGTAATCTTTGATGTACTTCTTGTAGGCTTCTTTTGGGAAGCTGGTTTCCTGCAAGTGATGGTTCATGACAATGTCAACACCAGTGACTACTGTGCTTTCTGGTACCTTCGCCTTCAGGGCCTTCAATGGAGGCATTTCCACCAATGAGCGAGTCATCAATATTACTCTCTGTTACTGATCTTCCCCTCCACATCCAGGCACAGAGCATCTGCAATCTCCCAGATCTTGTGAATGTTGGTGAACATCTTCTGGGTAGTTAATCATGATGGCTGTTGGAGAAAGACGACGGTGGCCCTAGCTGAGTAGGAGCCCGGAGCTCTAAGCGAGAGCTGTGCAGCAGTAGCGATTTGAGGGGAAGAGGGAGTAGGCGGAAAATCTAATTATTTTTTCTTTATATGGAAATCTTTTTTAAATGTCCCAGTGATACAGAAATATACAGAGAAAAACAGAGAGATGCCTCCTTATTCCTCCCTTCAATCTCTGTGACTTCCTCTCCTGAATAACTAAAGCTCATAGTTTGGGTTTATCCCTCCAGTTCCCGGGCCCATAGACATTTATTGCATAAATGGAAACTTTTGCACATGCATTCTCTCTCACACGGTATGTATGTGCAACTTGATTTTCTAATTTAACAAAATGTTGTGGAAAACTTACTATGTGTTACATTTTGCTTTACTTTATCAATACGATGGTATTATAATGCTCCATAAAATGAATTTACCACAATTTATTTTACACCCTCTTACTGATGACATTCAGACTGCAATTATTATTCTGGGTTCACATACAACTATTTCTGTAAGATAGACTCCTAGGATTTAAATTGCAATTGTAAGGGTTAAGAAACTGTCCAATCACCTTCTCCTAAGGCTTTTGCTAAACCTTAATACCTCAATTTCTACAGCACCACTAATGGTACATAATAGTCTTTTGTTTTCAGGCATCCAAAGTCAACATAGTACCAGTCTTTTTAATTTGGTAAAGCAAATAGTTTAAAAAATCCATTGGTCCTATTTTAGATTAAAATTTCTTGATTACTGGTGAGGTATGACCTTAATGTATATCTTTGTCTGTATGTTCTCATTCCTGGTTTGCGTATTTGTATTACTTATCCACCTTTCTATGGGTTTTATCTTTTCTTATTGGCTTGTGGAAGGTATATACACGTTTCAACTATTACAAGCATTGCAACATCTTCTTCCAGTGAATGACTTGTTTTTTAATTTCCTTGACAATATCTTATATTTATGAAAATACTACTCTTTTGTCAAATTTATGAAACTTTGCTTTACTGTTCATATTTTTTAAGTTTAAAATATCTTTTGAAGTCATACAGATAACTTTCTACACTTGCTTGTAAAAGTTTAATTTTTTTTTTTTTTTCTGGACCAGCAGTTGGCATAATGACTGTGTTGCTGGATTCCCATGTAGTCGACCGCAGTTTGAGTCCTGGACCTGGTGGCTTAAACTCATGCTGGGAGCATGTGCATGCATGCCCAAGATCCCGAGAGGAGAATGAAGGAGAAGGGATTGTGGCGTGGTCATCTCCCCGGGGGGGGAGGGTGATTTCTCGCTTTCTGTCTCTCTGTCTTCTGGCGGTGCACACGCCCTATAGCAAAAACCTCTCCAAAAAAAAAAGTTTAAAATTTTTTTCTTTTTGCATATCAATTCTTAATCCAATTGCAAATGTACTTTGTATATGATGGTGATACACATAACGGGAACCTAATTTTATCTTTTTCCTTGTGGCTGTCCAAACATTTCAGCACTATTTATTGAAAAGACTATCCTTACCCTACTGATCTACACTGCTGTTTCATTAAATGACAAGTATTTTTAAAATTTTTAATTGCAATTTCTGAATTACATATAATTACACATCTTTGTAAGATACAGTATGAGGTTCTTCTTTTTCTTTTGCTATGCAGCACATGCACTTGCCATAGAAACAGAGAGAAACAGAAAGACAGAAAGTGATAAATCATACTCCAAGGGGGATGGCCACACTACAATTCCTTCTCTTCCATTCTCCTCTTGAAATTTTGGGCACACAAGCACACATGCCCAGTGTGAGTTTTAAAGCCACCAAGTCCAGGAATTGAACTGCAGTTTACTATGTGGGAGTCCAGCAATGTAACCATTATGCCATCTGCTGGTCCCAACAGTATGAATTTTAAAAGTCCTGGGCATCTACCAAAAGAATAGGAGAATACTCAGTCAGAAAAGTGCTCGCACATCTATACTTACTGCAGCATTATTCACGATTGCTAAGACATGGAACCAGCCCAAATGTCCACAAATAGATGAATGGATTGGAAAAGTGTGGCACATATACTCTATGGAATACTACTTAGCCATAAAAAGCAAAAAGATCCTGGCACTTGGTAGAAAGTGGACAAATATGGAAGATTTACTACTGAGTGAAGTAAGCCAGGCTATGAAAGAGGAACACTGTACGTCTCCACTTAATATATATTGACAGTCTGCACTCTATGGCAGAAACTGAAAGACTAGAGGATATAGAAACACAGAAAATGGTTAGGGATACTTAAGACAGTGTGGAAAGAGAGTAGAAGAGGGAGAGCATGAAGAGGGAAATTAAGGTGAAAAATAGAGGCAAGACATTTATGGGACACAGAAATGAATTATTATCTGTTAACGATAATGTGTATAGTACCCTGAATTGGACCAGCATGAAATGTATTCATATTGGGTAAATTCACTTTATAAGCTAAGTGATGTATACTGATAGAATGTATAAAATAAATAATGAATAAATATGGTGGGTAATAAACAAATTAAGGATATAAACATATTTACCACCTTCAACATACAACATCATATTATGTTGTGCATATTTGAAATTCACTCCACTGGTTATTTTTGAAATATACATTAAACTGTCAATTATGTTCTTTACTGTGAAATACAGTTCTAAAGAAAAAGAGGGACCAGCAGATGGTGTAATGGTTATGTCATTGCACTCACGTGTAGTTGTTCTCAGTTTGAGTACTGAACCTGGCGACTTAAAACTCACAGCAGGTGTATGTGTGTGCATGCCCAAAATCCCAAGAGGAGAATGGAGGAGAAGAGATTGTGGCATGGCCATCCCCCCTGAGCGGGTGATTTCTTGCTTTCTGTTTCTCTGTTTCTCCAGCGAGTGCATGCGCCCTATAGCAAACATCTCTTGAAAAAAAAGTAATTACAAATCAGATAACAAAAAGTGTAATACATTAATGAGGATGGAATTTTGAAAACAAAGATAATCTTAAAATAGACAATGAAAAAAATATTTGTAATTTCTATGTAGACAATTGTGGGAGATTAGAGTTTATAACTGAAAAGATCTGTGTTATCAATCATTGGTCCAGTTAAAGGTAGGTAAAATTGTACATAGCAATAGCATCAGGAAGAGAGAAAAAGAAAAGAGAAAACTTTCACTCACTCACTGTGAGTTGTTTTTTTTTTTTTTTTTTTTTTTTTTTTTTTTTTTTTTTTGAGAGAGATTTCTTTTGCTGTAGGGCTCGTGCACTTGCTGGAGAGAGAGACAGAAAAATAGAAAGCGAGAAATCACTCTCCTGGGGAGATGGCCACACTGCAATCCTTTTTCCTCCATTCTCCTCTTAGAATTTCAGTGTAACCATTATACCATCTGCTGGTCCCTGCGAGTTCTTTTAAGATCAATATTACTGTACTTTGCATATAAAATAAGTCCTCAAAAAAATCAAAGATGAAAACAAAATTGGAAGTAGATGTTTAAATGTGAAGACATGGTAAAATCAGCAATTTGGTAACTTAGAGGCCTTACAGAGTTCTTGATTGTAGCCATCTTAAAATTAATTCCAAAGACTCAGCTACTGGCAATATTTGGACTTTTCTATTATCTGGTTTTATACACTGAATAATGGCTAAAACAATAAATATATAAAAGCTATAAGAATCCTGTTGAGATGATAGTCTATCAAATAATTGGTAAATTTGTACTTAAACTTGACTCTATATAAAATAGTAGAATCTGCATTTGTAGCATGCAGATATTTTCACTGACAAAGCTAGCATTTGATTTTTTTGTTTGTTTTATCCTATTTATTTACTGGTCATTGATACCTAAGGGAGAGATGTTGTTCCATAAATGTCTGCTAAGTTTCTGGTCTCTATGAAGTTAGAGTTGGGTACAACATTTCCCTGTACAGTGTGCCTGGGATTAAACAATTGTTTTTTAAGAGCTCACTTTTATGTACTTAGTAGTTTATAGAAAAGATTTATTTGTATAGATACAGCCAGTTAACACCATAGCAACTCATATTTCACATTGAATTTAATAACTTGAGAATATTAGAAAATGGAGCTGAATGCAATCTACATTATTATACCTGAAGAGCTAGAAGAAGCAATTTGAAGAAGTGTATATATGGTTTTATGTATCCTATTTTTGTACGTGTGTGTGCATGTGCATCTGTGTGCTCTGAGTATCATGTGTGTCTGTAATGAAGAATATTTTAAATGCTCAAAAGCGTGTTTTCACTAAAGGAAGTTCACAATTTGCTTACCATTTTAGTAACTTTTGAATTTCTGCTGGGATCACATCATAAAATGTATGTATATTATTTTTAACAATGAACAAAGCACTAATTTGAGTAAGTCGTTGTGAGCTATTCAAAGAATTTTCCTTCCAAAAACAAGGATGAGTGTAATTATTATCTATCTGAATTTTTGTCAGGTTAAGCTTCAAAATTCCAGGTGGTAAAAAACACAGTTCATTCCCATCAACATTCAGTCTGTCAAGTGATCTATAAATAAGAGAAGACACATTTTAAAAAATATTTATGCAATTTATAAGTAAAATTCTGTCCCAGTGTTCTTTTTATAAAATTATTTTATTCAATTTCATTTATTCATTCATTCATTTATTTTAATTTGACCAGAGAGACACAGAAAGAGAGAGAGAGGAAAGTGAAAAAGCAAGCCATCAGGTCCAGGACTCAAACCATGGTGGGCCATGTGGGAGTGTCCAGTGCCTTAACCATCATGCCACTTGCCAATTCCCTGTCCCAGTGTTCTTAAAACTTGGTATCAAACTTGAGAGCAATAAAATACAAGTGTGTATTTAAGTATTTCTTTAGAATCAAGATAATTTATTCATAAGGCAACTGAATGAATATATTACTCTAAAATAATAATATACTTATTTTGACTACATATAGTCAAAACTTTACAAGTTTTCACCACCATGGAAAAAATAATATCCATGAACACATTAAGACTAATGAATTTCATGTTATATGAAACATGATACACAGTATAATAATATACACAAAGTTTATGTTGTCATAGACAAGTTGAACACCACACATAGTTTTTCATTGAAATTCAGTAAAAATAGTAAAATTTGTAGTATCAAAAGATATCATGTGCCATGTTGTACTTTGGCTTATAGTCACCTGAATTCCCTTTGTTTTTTACTGTGTCAATTGATTCTAATAGTCTTTATTTTTTATTCAAAGAGAACCAACATTACTGATTTTCTCATTCTCTTCACTTGTGTCAATGGTGTGGTGGTTAAGGTGCCAGACATAGCCAACCATGGTATGAGTCCTGGACTTGCCAGCTTGAAAATCATGCTAAATACATATGCATGTGTGCTCAAAATCCCAAGAGGAGAATAGAGGAGAGAGGATTGTGATATGGTCATCTATCCTTGGAAATTATTTCTCATTTTCTCTCTCTTTATCTGTCTTTCTCTGGCAAGTGCACATGCCCTGGGGCAAAAAAATCTTAAAAAAAAAAAAAAAATGGAGGGACCAGCAGTTAGCGTAATGGCTATGTTGTTGAACTCCCATGTAGTCAACTGTGATTCGAGTCCCGGACCTGGTGGCTTAAACTCACGCTGGGCACATGTGTGTGCGTGTCCAAGATCCCAAGAGCAGCATGGAGAAGGGATTACAACATGACCATCCCCCCCTGGGGGGTGATTTCTCACTTTCTGTCTCTCTGTCTCTCTCTGTCTGACTGGCGAGCACACGTGCCCTATAGCAAAAAAAAAAAAAAAAGAAAGAAAGAAAAGGAAAGAATGAAAAGATTTACCATTATCAAAAATCAATTCTTCAAAATGTATGTGTAAACTCAAGACAGTTGCATTTAAATTCCAATTTTGAGTTTATGTAGTATGTAGAGGAAAGAGCTGGGAATTAAATTAAAACATATTAAGACTACGATCTAAACAGAATAGTTAAGAGATTATTATTAAACATAGTTTCCTTACTAGCTGTCAGAAAATATTCCAAGTTCATAATCAAACTATAATACTGACTTAGTGGAACATAGATAAACTATAGATTTTTGTTTTTGTTTTGTTTATTTTTCCTGTGAGTAAGAGAGACAGAGAGAAAAGACAGAGGCAGCACCCTCTAATAGGGTCTTGATGCAGTAATCCACCCCCGGCCTCCGACAATGTGGGATCATGAGCATGTGTGTGCCTGACATTCTCCAGACAAGAGAGGTCTCCAGACAAGAACTTGGAACCTTTTTATGTGAGCCAGCCTTGCAAAGCATCTATTTTTTAAATTAATGTGAAAAGGAATCAGATTTAGCATTAAAGCTTCACTATGTATCATTAACATTCTGTGTATGTGTATTTCAAAAAATGAAGAAAACAGCTAAGAGCCAAATGGTACACACACAGATAAATGGAGTTAAGCAGCTGGTCACCCTACTAAGTACTCATGTTACTATTCTTTGAATAATTATTGAAAATTTTATATCTTAAAATACTGTACACTGAGACCAGCAGATGGCATAATGGCTACATTGCTGGATTCTCATGTAGTCTACTGCAGTTCAAGTCCCAGACCCAGTAGCTTAAAACTCATGTCGGGCGCATGTGTGTGCATGCCGAAAATACTGAGAAGAGAATGGAGGAGAACAGATTGTGGTGTGGCCATCCCCCTGGGGGGTGATTTCTCGCGTTCTGTCTCTCTGTCTCCTTAGTGAGTGCACATACCCTATAGCAAAAATCTCTCTCTCTAAAAAAATGTTTTAATTAAAGAAAATACTACACCAATTATTCAAATTACATTTGTGGCAAGCTTTATGCTGCACATATTGGATGTTATAGCTATTAAAAAAATAAAAGGGCTCAATTTTTTTCTACCACAGTATTATCAAAAACATCAATAAGAGGCATTCACTTTCTATGCACTTACTACTTCTAAAATACCTGAGTTTCTGGATTGCATTTGGAATAAAAGTAAGGTTGTTGTAGGAGACATCAAGTTCCTCAAGATAGGACAAGGAAAATAACCTGAAATAGAAAGGTAAAGTTGTAAAAATGATTATATATTTGTCATCACTAGGAATAAATAAATGAGTCAATACATAGTAGAATAGAGAAACTATACTTTTCAAAGACCTTGAAGCTTATATAGACTTATATTCTTTATAATGGTGTATTAATATGAAAGTTCCTTAAAAGCATTCTGTTTTGATATGTTTGAAGTGACTAAAAGCCCCAGGCAGAAGAATGTACTGAGAATTTTAACATTATTTAAACATTATTTTCTTGTTTACTCTACTAGTTCCTTAGGCTGAAATGACAACTGACTGCAATCTGGATGCCTTCAAAAATCAGAAATGTATTCTTTCCCTGCTCAGGAGATCAGCGTCTGAAATCAAGGACTTCAGGAAGCTCTGAGAGAGAAATTGTCCCTTGCCTCCCTTGTAGCTTCTGATGTTTGCCACAGTTCCTGGTGTTCCTTGAACAGTGGCAGCGTAACTGCCTTTCTCTTCACTGGCCGGTCATCAGATTTAGGGCCCAATCTAATCCAGTATGACCTCAGATGAACTAATTAGATCTGCAAAAACCCTGTTTCTAAGTAAGTCACCTTCTGGAGTTCTGTATGGACATAAATTATCTGGGGACACTTCAACTGAGTACAATTGCATTAAGACTTTCCCAGTGAAATACCTTTCATCTTTTTAAAAATCTTTCTTTCTATCAAGATAAGTATTTAAAAGTAAGAACCAAAGGGCTGACCCTCTAAGTGGTTCACCTGTACATCAGGAGCTGTACACCACAAGACCAACTGCAATTAGAATCCCAGCCAACTTGAAAAACACCAAAATACTGACAGGAGGTAGCAATGAAAGAGAAGGGATTGTGGTATGACCATTCCCTATTGGGAGGTGCTTTGTCCTTTCTCTGTCTTTCTCTTTCTGGTGAGTGCATGTACCCTTTGGCAATTAAAAAAAAAAAAAGAAAAAAAAAAGTAAGAACCAAAGGACACAAAGATTTTTTAGCATAGTTATGCAGCCACAAAGCGTGTTTCTTAGGGGATATAGTAGGATCTGCTTTTTGAAGGCTGGAGTTCAACAACTACATATGATAATACCTAGTATGTAAAAAAAAAAAAAGGAAAAAAGTATCATAATACCTAGTAAAATATCCTTCTTTGAGTGAGCTGTTTTCAAATACCTTCCTGCTGTCCGTATAAATAAAAAAACGAAAAATTAAATGGCATATAAATGTTCTTATGATCTGGCCCCAGACTGCTTGTCCACCTCCCCTCTCAGTCCCCCACATTCCCTTATGGTCCAGCATTTGTTTGTTGACTTTCCATGAATTAGTTAATTCTTGTATGTTTCTCACATACCATATGTAATCCTTGCAAAGGAGATTCTTAATGTCTTATAATTTTTTTTGCCTTTTTTTTTTTTGAGAGTTTTTTGCTATAGGACGTGTGAGCTCACTGAAAAAAAGAGACACAGAGACAGAAAGTGACAAATCACCCTCCAGGGAGGATGACCATGCCACAATCCTTTCTCCTCCAACCTCCTCAGGTTCTTGGGCATGCACGCACACACACCCAGTGTGAGTTTAAGCCACTGGGTCCGGGACTCGAACCACAGTTGACTACTTGGGAGTCCAGCGACATGCCATTACGCCAACTGATGGTCCCAATGTCTTTTCATTTTTCAAGTCTTGGCTCAGGTATCACCTCGTCCAAGGAACTCTTCCAAAATCTTTCCCACTGGGGAGCAGTGAGCTCCTGGTCTGTTCTTCTCTGTTTACTTCAGTCACAGAGCCAATCATGTGATGGAATAAATATCTTTCTCTTAAAACTATGAGGCTCTCTGGAAGCCAGGGATTCAGTTTTATATTTCTATATATCCAGTGTCTTGTGTAATGCCTAGTATGTCAGAAGTGCTAAGTAAATCATGATTGAATGAAAGGAATGATGGCCCTAATTAATTTAAAATAATTTGTTCCAGGGGTCATTCCATGGCACAGTGATGGTGCACTGCCCAAAAGAAGTTGGATCTCACAGAGTGGCTATGGTTCAAATCCTAACCTGGAGAGCCTGGAACACTCAGCACACATATACACCCAAGATCCTGGAGGGCTGAAGGATTATAGGAAGAGGATTCTGGATCCCTGTGGAGGGTACTCCTTTCTCTCAGTGTCACCCAAATGTGTGTGCATATGTGCTCTATCATTTATAAAGATATATAGAAATAGGGAACCAGCAGCTAGCGTAATGGCTATGTCGCTGGACTCCCACGTAGTCGACCGCGGTTCACGTCCCGGACCTGGTGGCTTAAAACTCACGCCGGGCGCGTGTGCGTGCGTGCCCAAGATCCCGAGAGGAGAATGGAGGAGAAGGGATTGCAGCGTGACCATCCCCCCTGGGGGGTGATTTCTCGCTTTCTGTCTCTCTGTCTCTCTCTGTCTGTCTGGCGAGCGCACGCGCCCTACAGTGAAAATCTCTCCAAAAAAAAATAAAAAGATATATAGAAATATATAGTAAAATCATTTGCTCTGGAAAATTAATGAGATCAAATAGGAAAATAAAAGCTGTGTTTTTTAAATTCAGTGTTCTGCTATAATTTCTTATCACTTCTATAAAAAATTGCTAGTGACATTTACTTTATTTTTCAATTTGCAATCATGTTATTTTATTTTGTTTCAGGCTGTAACTATTGGGTCATTTGTAGAGAAAAATACATCATGACTTTTCCAGCCACCCGATAGAATCATTCTGTCTTCCCTTATCACTTTAGTACTCAAAGCTAGCGTGGTTCCAGGCTTTCACCATGGGTGACACATTCCTGTTCATTGCAAGGTTTAAAAGGACTTGTAGATAGCACTGAGGGAGCTAATTAAGAAGCTGGGTAAGGAGTTAGCCCCATATCCCAGTGGTTATATGCTGTGTGGAGGGACGGATCTCACATGGGCTCCAAGACACAGTGGTAATACACTGCTTTAGAAAAGGCAGATCCCACATGGCAACTGGGGTTCAAATGCCTGGCCTGCCCTAACCTGTCTGAAATATAGCAGGCCGGGGTGCGAGTGCCCAGGATCTGAAAGGATGGAGGACTGAAGGAAGGAGATCATAGTGTGAGCAGACCCTGTAGAGGGTCACTGCTCTTTCTCTCTCAAAATCAAAAATAAACAAGCAAAAACCTCTACTTAGAAAAAATATCTTGGCTAGCCCCACAGCCTAGTGGTTAAAGAGCTGGGTCCCCCATGGCTTCAGTTCTTGTTCTGGAAACTTAGAAGAACACACTGGATATATGTGTGTGTGGGCTCAAAATCCTGACAGAAACAAGAAAGAGAGGAAAAGGGATTGTGGCATAACCAAGTTCCACTGTGAGGTGGGAGAAGGAGGGTGCTTCCTCCCTGTCTTCCCTGTCTCCCTCTGGCTAGCACACGCACTATCTGGCAATTATAAAGGAAAAAATATATCTTTTTTTTTCTTCTTTTTTTGCATTTGGTTAGTGTTTTTGTTTAAAACTTTCATTAGGAGTTAAGTAATTATCAGTTTATATGAGGGGGAGAAAGCATGTCTTACATTCCCAAGTATCAAGATTCCTATTAGAGTTGAAAGGATTTTAGTATCATATAGACCAATCTCCTTAGATTACATATTAGAAAATAGAGGCCAAGAATGGTTAAGTTACTTTCTCTAGATCAAATAGATAATTATCACCAACATTAAAGTCAAAGATCTGTATTTCATAATTCCAAATTCAGTGCCCTTTTAATATTTAAAAATGTTGCTAAGGGATAGTTGTAAGGAATAGGTCATCTGAACCTCTAGATGATTTGTGTTCATCTGATCTATACCCTCTAGATATGTCTTCACTAGATCCATATTAATTGTCATATATCATCTGGTAAGATTATTTTTTATTCTTCTCTCTCTCTCTCTCTCTCTCTCTCTCTCTCTCTCTTTTTAGAGAGGCTTTGCTATAGGGCATGTGCACACTCCAGAAAGACAGAGAGAGACAGAAAGTGAGAAATCACTCCTCGGGGGGACTGGCCATGCCACAATTCCTTCTCCTCCATTCTCCTCTCAGGACCTTGGGCACGCATGCACATGTGCCCAGCATGAGTTTAAGCCACTTGCTCCGGGACTTGAACTGCAGTCCACTACATGGGAGTCCAGTGATAGAGCCATTACGCCAACTGCTGGTCCCGATCATCTGGTAAGATTATTTTGAATACTCTAAGAAGAAGCAAATCAGCTGATAGTAATAAAACAATAGTTACTAAATAGTCAAAAAAAACTTCTAGCTGCTTTCAAAGGAAAAGCTGATTCTATTCTAAATTATAAACTCTTGTTATTTTCTGTTTGTAATCTCAGACTATCACCCTTACCCAGGTGGAAGATCAGCGATATAATTAAAGGCAATATTGAAAATTCTAAGGAACTTAAGTTGCTGAATTTCAGAAGGAATTTCTTTGATAGGATTATTTCTCAGTTTCAGTATTTGTAAATGTTTAAGACAAAATACCTGGGAAACAGAAAAGAGAAACAAACTTGAGAAGAATAACAAAGTGTGCAAATCCCTATTTGTTATGTTTATACACTCTTTGAATTAATATAATAGAATCAGTAGAGTAACATTGATTAGCTATGTCATATTTCAATAAGCACCTTTGGCAACCATTGAAGATAAGTGACCAGGACTAAAAAGTATGATGTGGTAAAACAGTGCAACTACTGTGCGTGTGTGCCCTTGAATGGTTATTTTCTAATGGGAAAGTCATTCTTTTTGATCAAGTTCATGGTTTCATAAGAGGCAATCATGGAAATGGAAAAATAAAGGAGAAAGACTATACCAGGAAGATAAATTAAAATAACCTTCACAGTCAGTGAAGTATCAGATATCATCGACAGCTTGTTTCACTCTAGTACAGCAATTCCACTGATTTTTAAAATGAAATTTTAAAATAGGAAATACCACTTAAATTATCTTTGCTTGACTAATATATTTCTTGCTTACTGGTGAATCTTCATAGCTTTCTTTTAACATTAAATTAAATGTTTTATTATTAGAAAGGTCCAAAATTGAGGAAGTAGAGCATACTCATTCATATAACCAGGAAGCATGAGTCTTCCAAGTTTATTGTTCTCTCCTCAATTGTTTTAGCTCTTCAGAGTCTCTTGCATTTCCATATGAATTTTAGAATCTGCTTGTCTAATTTTATAAAAAAGGTAGATGTAATTTTCATAGTGATTGCAATGAATCTATTGAAATTCGGGAGTATTTCTATTTTAACAATATCATCTTCAGATCCATGAACTTGAGATGGTCTTCCATCTATGTATGTCTCCTTAATTTCTTTCAACAGGGTGCTAATGTTATTCTTTTTCATGCTATCTTAAATAAAACTGCTTTCCTAATTTTATTATCAGGATTGGTCATTGCTAGTATGTATGAAGGGACTTCAAAAAGTTTATGGAAATGTTGAGTTAAAGCAAATTTTGATGAAACTCCATGCATAATTTTGTCATAATTTGCATTTTCTATGAACTTTCTAAAGATCCCACATAGAAATATAATTGATGTTTGTATATTGAGCTTGTACACTGCAACCATGCAGAACTCATTGATTAGTTCTAATGGACTTTTAGTGGATTCCTTGGTTTTTACTCCTTCATTTTAACACATTGCTGCTGCTTCTTTTTTTTTTTTTTTTTTAAGAGGTTTTGTCTTAGGGTAAGTGTGCTCACTAGAGATATTTCTGGCATCTCGCACAACATGATTTTCAAGTCACTGAGTTCAGGACTTGAATTACAGTTGACCATGTAGGAGTCCATCAGCGTAACCATTATGCCATCTGCTGGTCCCTAAAACATGTTACTTTTTATTTCATTTTCTTGACTTGACTTGGCTAGAATCTACAGAGCAATATTGACTAGAGAAGGCAAATGTAAACATCCTCTATCTCATTTTGATTTTAGGAGGAAAACTTTCAAGCTTAATATATTAAATATAATACTAAGTTTTTTGGTAATATTCTTTATCAGGTTAAGCAAGTCTCTTCTTCCCCTAGATACTGAGTGTTTTTCTGTCATGAAAGAATGTTGTATTTTTCCATATGTGTTTTTTTGTGTCTATCAAGATAATTATGTAGTTTTGGTATCCTTAACTACTGTATTATATTGATCGATTTTTGTCTATTGAACCAACCTTGCATTGTTGGGATAAATATTATTGATAATATCAGTTGGTCACAATGTAATATCTTTTATATGCTGATGAATTTGCTGTGCTAGCATTTTGTTGAAATTTTTACATCTATATTCATAAGAGCTATTATTCTGTAATTATTTATCATATTTGTCTAGATTTGTGTAAGGGTATTAGTGTTCTAATGGTTTGAATGGGAAAATGTTTTTTCCTCTTCTATCTTTTTGGGAGATTTTGTGAAAAGTCAATATTTCTTTTTCATATGTTTGGTAGAATTAGTCCATGAAGCCATCTGGTCCTATACTTTTCTTTATGGAAAGTTTTAAAATTATTGTTGAATTTTGGTTGTTATAGAGGCATTAATATTTTCTATTTTTCTTTAATTTAGTTTTGTGTTTCCAGAAATGTTCTTATTTCATTGAATTCAGTTAAAATTGGTTGGTATACAGGTATTTGCAGTATTCTCTTAAAATCAATTATATTTCAGTAAGGTCAGTGATGATGTTCCCTCTTTCATTCTTGATTTTGGTAAGCTGAGACTTATTTTCTTGGTCTATGTCAGTAAAGTGTCAGTTTTGTTGATCTTTTCAAAGTAACAACTTTTGATTTTCTTAATGTCCTCTATTGTTGTTCTATTTATTTCATTCATTTCAGTATTAATTTTTGTTGTCTTTTTAGGTTTAATTTTCTTTAGTGGCTTAAGATGAAAGGTTAGTTTACTGATTTGAGACATTTGTTTTTCTTCTTGTTGTTGTTGTTCTTCTCTCTCTTTTTTTTTCATATATAGAGATTTTTGCTATAGGGTATATGTGCTTGCCAGAGAGACAGAAAACAATAAATCTCCCCCAACAGTGGATGACCATGACGCAATCCCTCCTTCTCCATTCTCTTGGGATTTTTGAGCACACATGCACATTGTGCCCAGTGTGAGTTTAAGCCATCAGGTCTAGGGCTTAAACCATAGTTGATTATGTGGGAGTCCAGTGATGTAACCATTACACCATCTGCTGCCCCCACTCTTTATTATTATTTGTTTTTAAGAGAGAGATTTTTGCTATAGGGTGTGTACAATTACCAGACAGAGAGAGACAGAAAGCGAGAAATCACTCCCCGGGAGGATGGCCATGCCACAATCCTTCTCCTTCATTTTCCTCTCAGGATTTTGGGCACACACACACCTGTACCCAGCGTGAGTTTCAAACTGCAGGGTCCAGGACTTGAACTGCAGTTGACCATATGGGAGTCCAGTGATGTAACCATTGTGCCGTATGCTGGTCCCCTCTTTCTCTTTCTTCTGATTGAGAGTGAGTGTGCTCACCAGAGAAAGACAGAGAGAAGGAGAGGAGAAAGCACTCACAATGGAAAATGGTCAAACCATGTTCCCTTCACTATCTGTCCCTCTTTTTGGGATTTTGGGCACATAAACACATATGCCCAACATGTTTCTCAAGACACTTAACCATGGACTTAACCATGCAATTGGTCATATGGGATCTGGCTGTCTTAACCACCAGGCTACAGAGCTGTACTATTCTTTTAAAATATAAGCATTGGGGACCAGCAAATGGCATAATGGTTATGTCACTGGACTCCCACTCAGTTAACCATGGTTTGAGTCCCAGATCCTGTGGCTTAGAACTCATGCCAGGTATGTTTACATTCATGCCCAAATTCTGCGTGGTCACACCCCCCCTTGGGGCATGATTTCTTGCTTTCTGTCTCTCTGGCAAGTGCAGATGTTCTATAGCAAAAAAAAAAATCTCTAAATAAATAAATAAATAACATAAGCATTTACAGCTATTTATTTTCTTTTGAGCACTGCTGGAGATTAATCTCATAAATTTGGTTTATATTGTACTTTAATTTCACTTATCTCAAAGAATTCTAATTTATCTCTTGATTTCTTGGATTCATTATTTAGAAGCAGGTTGTCTAATTTCCACATATTTAGAAGTTTCCAATTTCTTTCAGTTTTTGATTTCTAATTTCATGCCTTTGCACCCAGAAAAAGCCCAAAAAATTGATCTGTGAGATTTTCAATCCCTTTAAGTTTACTGAAACTTGTTTTATAGCCTAACATATGATCTCTCCCTAAAAATGCTCTATGTAAATTTGAGAACTGTGTATTCTGCTGCTGGTGGAGTATTCTATTAGATTAATTGGCTTATCATGTTTAAATCTTCTTTTTTCTGTTGACTTTCTGCCTCATTGTTCTATGCATTATTGAAAGTGGACTGCTTAAATGTCCAGTTGTTTTTGGTGAATTTTCTTTTCTTCAATCCATTTAGTTTTTGCTGCATGCACTTTGTGACTCTGATGTTAAATACATGTGTGTTTATAATGTGTATCATCCCGAATCTGATTATCCTTGATATTTTTTTTTATCAAGTATAGCATTCTACTTCAGCCTATGGTCACTAAAACTTATTACAACATTACCTGATCACAAACTTTACTTTTGAAAGCTTATGAATAACACATAGATAAACTTTAAATGTTCTTTAGAATTAGAAAAATTAATTATGGGTCAGCCAGTGGTGTGGTGATTAGCGAGGCTGGGTCCCACATGGCCAACTGTACGGTTTGAGTCCTGGACCCAACAGCTTGAAAAACATACTAGGCACACATATATCCATGCTCAAAACCCTGAGAGGAGAATGGAAGAAAAGACTGTGGCATGGCCATGCTCCCTGGAGAGGGAGGGGATCCTCTCTCTCTCTCTCTCTCTCTCTAGTGAGCCCTACAGTAAACTAAAAAAAATTAATAATTTAAAATATATTTTACAATTATCAAAGCATATCTAAGAGTTCAACTATAATACAGTTTTTTAAACTGCTTCTTTGTTAAGTTTATTGTCTTTATTTGGACTATCTTCATAGGAAATTGTTTGGTTTGGGACCAGTAGATGGTATAATGGTTATGTCGCTGAACTCCCACATAATCGACCACAGTTTGAGTCCTGGATCCAGTGGCTTAAAACTCACACCGGGTGCATGTGTGTGTGTGCCCAAGATCCTGAAGGGACTGTGGCATGGTCGTACCTTCTGGGGAGTGATTTCTCACTTTCTTTCTCTCTCTCTATCTTGCCAGTGAGTGCACGCACCCTATAGCAAAAGTCTCTCTTGAATACACACACATGAAAAGTTTAGTTTAGTGCTCAGCGGCTTGCTCCTGTGCTCTGAGAAAGCTTGACTTCCGGGTTTCCTGATCTTTCTTCTAGGCAATGACCATTTTGGGATAATTCCACCTCTTTAACTTCTTTCTTGGGCTTCTTTTCATAGACTTGGTTCTCTCTTATAGGAGTGTGAGGTTTCTTATGTATCTCCTCTATGTCTGGAATTACACTGTTCTTTATGCATTGGGAGAATTGTTTCTTGTAAGCATCTTCATCTTCTTCCATTAGGTAGTGCATTTAGTCCTCAACATTCTAGCTCATAATGTGCTTCTTTTTTAAATTAAATTAAATTAAATTTATCATTATTATTATTATTAATGTTAAATTTGTTATAGGGCATGTGCACTCACTAGAGAGAGATACAGAGAGAGAAAGAGAGAAAGCAAGCTGCCAAGCCTGGTACTTGAACTGTAGTTGAATGTGAGAGTCCAGCTCCTTAATTACCACAACACACGCCTGCTTCCAATGTATTTCTGCATTAAATTCCTTGCTTTCAGAATCATAACCAGGGAATTATATGGTACTAGGAGGGATAGATAAGCCTTCATCCACTGCTCCCCTTAGGGCCCCAAAACTTTATAGCCAGTGGTAGTTCTCTGGCAAGGCTTGCATTCAAATAGCAGGTGAAAGCACCAGGTTGACCATCGATGCTTTATATTGTACTCATCTCCGGTCATTTCCACTTGCCTTCGTAGATCTCATCCAAGCCAAACCCGCTGAGAAGCCTATGGACCAGCAGCAGGCCAGTACAGTATGCTGCGGGATAATTTGTCAGGCTAACCTTCACACTGTATTTCAGAAGTTCATGTGCATAAGCTGCACAGACTTTCATATCCCCTTCTATATGGGCATAAACAATCTGACAGATATTATGTGTTAGCTACATGAGCTACCATCCTGTATTTGGGTATGTTATCTTATTTTTATCCTGGATCAACAGGTGTTTCTGAGCACAGTAATCAGTTTTACTCTCTCTTAAAGTAGGCATTATCCTGACAGCTTTAACAACCTCCATCCTGTGGAACAGAGACCTGTTTCTGCAGCTCAACATAGACCTGCAGGCCTACAAGTGCTACAGGGGGAGAAAAAGATATAATAGAGTTTTTGAGGATTATGTCATAGGATTTCCTAAGAAAATTAGAGTGTAGTTTTTATGCTTTGGAAAAAAAGACTTTTTGGATGCAATTCAAAAATAATTACATTTTAGTAATTTCAGGGTATCATAAGATGTCTATCTGTAAATTATAGTTATTATTCACAATAATGAATTACATAAATATATACAGTAATAAAAATATACTCACTTCTGGGGGAAAGCAACTGATATGGTTAAATGACAAGTTAAGATATATCAGTTGGAAAGCCAAAGGTGTTAAGTCTGGACAATTCGAGATAAAAAAGCCCTAAAAGAAAGTGACAAGATGTAAGATGTTAATTATCGACAATGCACAAATTATTTCATACCAGAGTAAAAAGAAATTAACACAGGGGGTCAAACTATGTCACAGCAGCAAAATGCAATGCTGTACAAGGTTGACTCACGTGGGAAGGTTTTTAGTTTGATTCCAGTAACCTCCCTGAGTATGTCAGACACATGTGCCCATGATTTGGGTGGCAGAGGCTCAAGATGGATTGTGGTGTCAGTACCACCAGGAATATTGTCTCTCTGTTTTTAAATCCACTTCTCTGTCTTTCTCACTCATGGAATAAATAAATATGCCTGGGATTAGCAAATGACATAATGGTTGCTTCACTGGACTCCCATATGGTCAACCTAGGTTTGAGTCCCAGACCCGGCAGCTTGAAACTCATGCTGGGCACATGTGTGTGCATGCCCAAAATTCAAGAGGAGAATGGAGGAGAAGAGACTGTGGCATGGCCATCCTCCCTAGATGGTGATTTCCCACTTTCTGTCTCTCTGTCTCTAGCAAGTGCACAGGCCCTATAGCAAAAATCTCTCAAAAAATAAGTAAATAAATAAATTTACCAAACAAAACAAAACAACAAATTATAGCTTTATTTAAAAAAAAAAAGAAATAAGCACATAATGTGAATAACAATGTGTGACACAATACCCTACCTAAGTCTCTAGTCATCTTTCACTTATATTTTTGCCTGTTATAATAATTTCTTAAGTATACAAAGGACAGAAATAAAATATAAACACTAATAGGTACTTATGCATGTGGTAAGTATAGTGTTTATGTGTGACAGCATTATTTCCATCAACAGTAAGCAAACACTTGAGCTGAAATATAAGGAATGAATCTATTTTATATTCAATTATCTCCCACCTCTGTTTTTTTCCCCTGTCTCTACCTCTATTTCTCTGTTATTTATCTATTATCCTCATATATCTTACTTCTTGTTAAATGTGACAATTTCTGATTTAAGAAAACATATGAACTTAATATTTCTGACCACTCCACATTCTCTCCCCCACACTTTTTCATCTGGAAGCCCCAATCCCCATAATGATGGTATAATATGGTAAAAAATGGACCTTTAGGAACTAATTAGGTCTATACGAAGTCATGAGGACCTCCATGATGGGATTCGTGCCTTCATAAGAGAAGATGGGACCAGAACTCTGTCTGTGAGGATATAGCAAGAAAGCATCCATAGGCAAGAGAGCTGTCCCTGAGGAACCAAATTGGACAACACCTCGATCCTGGGCTTGTCATCCTCCAGAGCTGTGAGAAGTAACTGTTGTGTAAGCCATTCATCCATGATCTTTTGTTATGGCAGCCCAAGCTAGGTAAGATATACCTGGTGGCCCCCACCATTTTTAATGCTCCAGGAAAGCTGGAATATTTGTTTCTTAGGGAGCATAGAATCAATAGTCATTCACTGAATAAACCAAAGAACTCTAATGTCAGAGGATCAGATCTCAAGTTGCAGTGAAAGGAGGCACTACTGCCATGCATTTTGCTGCAGAACATACTATTGAAAATTCAAAAAGGTTCACAACTAAAGAATCTTTGAATAGTACGCAGTCAAGACTAACCTACTACTAAAAGTATTCCTATTTTTCAATGTCTATATATTGTCACTTGTTTTGAAGTGAGGCTGTATAGTAAGTGTAATGACTTCCAAAGCTCAAAGGCACCACAAAATCAAACAATAAAACAGACAAGACTAGTCTGTTCGTTATGAGTTGAACAATAGAAGTTACAGAGGTTAAGTCTTGTGTGGCCACAGGAGGAGTAATCTCTGCACTCTTCATTCTCAAAGTATATGCTAATATAGTTTTTATAGTAGGGGACTTTAAAGGGGGAATGCAGGCCAGGAGGCATCTGAGGGATGCGTAGAGCAGTTTGGTGTTACTGTACTGTATCTTATCTGTGATGAAGGACACCTACCACTTTCTGGATAAGGATAATAAACATGTCTACTGTAACAGCTTAGGCTACATTCCAGCCTTGGGTGAGCACCCAAGGAACTTGAAAATCAGGTCAGTCAAGGCGGCAGATTATCTTCAAGATGGTGTCACTTGGGTTCCTCCACAGTAGTAGACCAAACCAGGAGTCCTTTCTTCTTGTCATTAACATTTTACTTCTCTCTGCATAACTACTTGGGTGCACTGCATTATGTAGCAGAAATGCATCTGTCATAGTCTCTAATCACTTCACTTAGTGTGCTTAGATAACTAGTGCCTTTATATTTTCTTCTACCTGTTAAGCTCTCTCCCCATTTATTCCCATAAGTGTTTGTTTCACTTCATCCCACTGCCTGCTTATAATCAGCAGTGCAGTCCTAAGTCATAAAACCAGGGAGGCCTTGATAGGCCTTTGCTGACCAACTTATAAATAGGCACCTCTCATACCAGTGCTGATGTATGGCTCATTGTCCCATCCACTTGCTGTATTGGCTTTTACATAACTCTTATCACCAATAGGCAGACTATGCATACATGTTTACATGTATGCATGATCTCACCCCATTAAAGTATAAACTCCAGGAAATAATATTTTGTCTGTTTCACTCACTGATACATAGGTTATCACTGGTAGGAGTGGGTTCTGAATAAATATCAGCTAAATGAATTAATATTAAGGATTTTTATACTGCCTCATAGAATCCCAGGGACCATCACTGTGGATATATTGTGAGGCCTACCGACCACAGACACCCTGGATGTTTCCTTTCTCATCCTATCATAAAACATGTGTTAAAAGAAAAATAAACCAGCAATTTAATAGAATAGAGTTTTAATAGAGAAAATCTTAACATGATTTAAATCAGGCAGTTGTTCCCAGACTTCTGGACAAATCTGGCCAGGCTTGTGGTTAACTCGGCATTTAAGTTGGCAGAACAGAAAAGTGTCATACAAAAAAATTCTGAAGTTTGTCTCCATTAACATGTCTTAAAAAGTGAGATATCTGTGATTGACTGAAGCCTAACTGCTACGATTGGCTGTAACTTAGTAACCAGCTCAGAAAAACAACCTAACATGTACAATTTTGGCTTATCCTTAGGAATCAAAGTATGTGAGTATAGTGGCTGTTTTAGGCCAAAATAGCTTAATTTAACACATGCTTGCTGTGGTTAATGACAGAAAGGATGTGAAGAAAAACAGCCCAAAGAATCTGAAAGCTTTTATAATTTCTGGAATTGCATTAGCAATCTTTAAGCATGTATACTCTCAGTATTACATTAATCAGTACGTTTGTTTTGAGTAACTGTTGTTCATATAGATCTGTTTCTTTAGTAAACCTTGGAATAAATGAGAATTTATAACTTTCAATTCTTTTTCTAAGTTTATTTATTGAGGAAGAGAGAAAGAGAGACACCTCCAACCAGGTATTCATGCTGCAATCCACATTCAGCCAGGCCCACAGGAGTACAAACCCAGGACCCTCCCATGTGGCCTCAGCATCATGGAATGCTGCATTACTGCTATGACACTGTAGCTGGTCTTTGAATTTATATTGCCCCCAATATAGCTCAGCATTCTAGCCTGGAATCAAATATTTTCAAAAATATTGTTAGTGACTGGAGAAATAAGCTTTTTCTCGATTAGTTTCACCCAACTCTTTAAAGGCTGTGTTCTTCTTCCATGTGAAGAAGAGATCAGCAAATTATAATCTGCCGCTTGTTTTTCTACATAAAGTTGTATTGGAACATGGCCATGCTCCTAAATTGAAGTACTGTATGTAGGATCTTTTGCATTACATGATGGCTGAGTGGTTGTCAGAGAGATCACATGTCCCTCAAAATCTAAAATTTTCTGCCTTGGGATCTCCACTGTCTTCCAACTATTCCAGTGCCACCTAGACCGCACTGCTCCCATCTCCCATCTGGAATCTGGGCAGCAGCTGACAGTGAGAAGAACAGAGGCTGGAGACCACCTTGGGAACTCCACTGTCTTCCAGCTCTTCCAGTTGAAACCCTGCAGCTCAGCCCCAGGTGCACCTTTTCTCAAGGAACTGGAAGGTCATTGAAATATCAGGTTCTGTACATAACAGTGCAGCTTACAAGATGAGTGTCAGGAAGACGGAGCTGCAAAGAGACAACAGCTCACCTCCTTCTGCATGATTTGAACTCTCAGAATTAACTCAAAGAAATTAGGAAGAAATGTATAATCTATCAGATGACCAGAAACTAAAGCAGAGGGATGAGAAATATAAGAAACTAAGAAAATATATCTCCCTCAAGGGAAAAGAACAACTCCTCATCATCCACAGACAGTACAATAGAACTTGTGGAACTGACAGATAAACAATTCAGAATATTCATAGCAACAAAACTAAAAGAGATGCAAGAGAAAAGAGACAGTGAACTCCAGCAGATGAGGAAGTCATTTCATTATTTGAAAGAAGAAATGGACACCATTAAAAAAAAAAAATCAAACAAACCTGGTAGAGATGAAGATTGTAATACAGGAAATCAAAACCTTCCTCAATAGTATTAAAAGCAGATTAGATCATGTAGAGATCAAATCTTAGATCTAGAAAATCTCTGGCAAAATACAAATAAAATCTCTGGCAAAATACAAACGAACAAAGAAAAACACAAAAAAGAATGAAAAAATTACACCAAAAAATGAGTATAAAATATGGGAAATCCTAGATACCATTAAGCACCCAAACATCTGAATAATTGCTGTCTCAGAAGGTAAAGAATCTAATAAGAGCATTGATAATCTATTCCATGAAATCTTGGGGAAAAATTTCCAAACTGAGAGAAGCATTAGAACATCCAGATCAAAGAAATACAAAGGACCCCAAATAAAATCAACCCAAGAAGGTCTTTTCCATGGCACAACATGACCAGATTGGCCAAAATCACAGATAAAGGTAAGATTCTAAAAATGGCAAGAGTGAAATGTCAAGTTACTTACAAAGATTTATCCCATCAGGCTAACATCAGACCTCTCACAATGAAAACAAAGAAAGAATGA